CCACATTAAGTATGAGATAATGCTCATCAGAACTCCCACATTTTTGAAATCCCCCCTCTACATTCTGATGTAGTCGTCCAGCGTGCTAGACATCCAAACGGGTTGATGAGTTCATCCAACAGATTCGGGGTCCAATGGGTGAATGCGCTCCTTGGACGGGTTTGACATCCATCGGGTTTGGGTCCAGCGTGTTCGACTAATGTTCGTTTCTCTGTGTTGAAGATCATTCCAGAATAAAGCAATTGGTTTTTTTGATATATTTTCCTATTTTAATTTACTTTGTTGATGCTGCACCGCTTTGCACCGCTCCGTTGCATGGGTGAAAATATAGATATTTAGTTGGGTCTGGTTGGGTTGATGGCTTACCCCATCAAACATCGCACCTCAACTCATTGACTTTGACACCACAATGTAACCCCTTCCCGGCGGAATTATCGCTTTTGATTTGGATATGTTGTATTTCATATCCACTACGGCCTACATGCAAAGTTTGAAGTCAATTGACTCCGTGGTTGATTAGACGTTCAACGTCTGAAACCAAATGGAATGTACGCCCAATCTGCCCTGCTCTGATTGGTCGGTTTTCTAACCCTGAATGGAATGGACGTCCATTCCACCCCCACCTGTTGGATAGGGTTTGGGTCCAGCGTGTTCAACTCCCAACGGGTTAATGCGCTCCTGGACGGGTTTGACGTCCAACGGGTTTGACGTCCAACGGGTTGGGTCCAGCGTGTTCAACTCCCAACGGGTTAATGGGCTCATCCAACGGGTTCGGGTCCAATGGGTTAATGGGCTTCTTGGACGGGTTTGACGTCCAACGGGTTGGGTCCAATGGGTTAATGCGCTCCTTGGATGGGTTCGACGTCCAACGGGTTTGGGTCCAGCGTGTTCGACTTCCTCATCCAACGGGTTTGACGTCCAACGGGTTTGGGTCCAGCGTGTTCGACTTCCTCATCCAACGGGTTTGACGTCCAACGGGTTTGACGTCCAACGGGTTTAACGTCCAACGGGTTTGGGTCCAGCGTGTTCAACTCCCAACGGGTTAATGCGCTCCTGGGACGGGTTTGACGTCCAACGGGTTTGACGTTCAACGGGTTTGTGTCCAGCGTGTTCGACTTCCAACGGGTTAATGCGCTCCTTGGACGGGTTCGACATCCAACGCGTTTGGGTCCAGCGTGTTCGACTTCGCGACGGGTTAATGCGCTCCTGGGACGGGTTTGACGTCCAA